ATGGGGTTGTCGGGTCCTTCTCCGAGTTTTCTCAAATTAGGAGCCTTTTTAGGAAAACAAGCGCTGAAAGGTATAAAAGATAACGTGCAACATTACAGACGGCAAAAATGATTCGACAACCTGCTAGCGTGATTGTAGCGGGTCCTTCAGGTAGTGGGAAAAGTGAATTAGTAGAAAAATTACTCAAAGAAAAAACCTTGTTTGACCCCGCACCGAAAAAAGTTGTTTACTGTTATGACCGCTGGCAAAAGCGATTCGATCGTATGAAAAAACAGATGCTGTTTTACAAAGGACTTCCTCCTGAAGGCACTCTCGTTAAATGGTTTAAACCAGAACAACATGGCACACTTATTTTGGACGATTTAATGGAAGAATCGGGAAGTGATAAGAGAGTGTTGGATTTATTTACAAAAGATTCTCACCACCGAGGTATTACCGCTGTTTACATAACACAAGATCTCTTTCCCCCAGGCAAATTTGCGAAAACGATTAATCGCAATGCACACTATGTCATTTGTTTTAAATCACCCCGCGATAAGACAGGTATTCGCCATTTACTGCTGCAAGTGTACCCTGATAAATGGCGTCAAGTTCTCAAATTGTTTTTAAAACTCACCTCTCGTCCTTTTGGCTATTTTATGTTGGATTTACATCCTGCCTCGGATGACTGTTTTCGTATTTGGAGCCATTTAACCAAAGAAGAAGAAGCTACGCGAGTTCATACCTTTGACGAAGATATAAATAGCCGTTCCCTCTCCAACAAACGCCAATTTAAACATGAAACGAAAAGGACACCCAAAACGAAGAAAAGGTAAACCGGGGGTAGGAAGACAACGAGGCGGGATTGCTCCCATGTTAGCCGCAGTGATTCCAGCTTTAGCCGCTGGAGGAAAAGCGCGCGTTAGGGAGGTTTAAGTGCATTGACGAAATATGGTACTAAGAAAGCAATCCAAGCGTTAGAGAAAAAGAAGTATAAAAGGAGGAGACGCCAACCAACATGAAGAAAGACATAAACATGGGACGTATGACGAGACAGAGTCATTTTTTAAACGAAGTGTTAAAAGAAGCTAACCAAAATAAGCGGCAACAAAAATTACGGTATGCAAATGCAGATCAAATTAATGCTGTGAGTGAGTTAGTGATGAACACCTTGCGGGGGAGTGTTAAACCTGAGAGAAAAACAGTGAGCCGTTTAAAACCCTATCGTCAATCTCTCCGAGTCATTGCCAACCCTCGTCAGAGTATAAAAAAGCGCAAACACTTGATGAGTACTCAAATAGGTGCGGGTGCGTGGAAAGAATTACATCGCTGTTATCATTGTGCTAAAAGGCAATATATATTGCTGCTAAATCCCCTTTTCAAAAAGCTCAGGAGAGTATTGAAAAAAAATTTAACGAAGCATCAAAAAGAGCTGCTGAAAGGGCTAAAGAAAGAGCTTTAAAGAAACTCGCAACTGCTCCAGGCTGGAAACCGTTTGGCACACCGGCAAAAAGACGATTAGATGGCAAAGACTGGTAAAAGGAAGGTTCGCAGAAAAAGACCGCAAAAGAAAAGAAAGCGGGGTCAGTGTGGGGCTGCGTTGGATATTCAGAAGCTTATTGAAAAAACAGGTAAAGAGTTTCATTGGCCTAAAATGAATTATCTTGGTCCAGGGACTCAGCTTCAAAAAAGACTAAGGAGGGGTGACCAAGGCGTCAATAGATTAGATGGATTAGCGAAAATCCATGACATCGATTATTCCAAAGCGAAAAATTTACAGGACAAGTGGAAAGCGGACGATAAAATGATTCGTGCTATTTCAAAGCTCCCGGGCAAGAAAACCATGCAAGAACGGATTGTTAAAAAGATCATGCAAACAAAACGCAAACTTAAGCTGTAATTCTGTTTTTATTCACTAAATAAAATGTGTTGTTACAATTAAAATTTTGTGAGTCTTATTCTTTCTGGGACCTTGATAATTTTAGGGGCCTTGGTGGTCTGAGGGGCCTTGTAGGGGCCTTAAGAATTTTTCGTAGGGGTCTTGGGACCTTTGGATGACACATTTGTAAGTTGCAGACTTTTTCCACCCATAAGAATTTTATTTTTGTAGACTTTTTCACACATAAGAGTTTTAGTCTTTCTTAAAATGCAGTCGAATCACACACTGACTTTGACTGTAAAAATTTACTTTCTGATCATCCAGTTCTTTCAGGGTAATTTCCACTTCATCCCAATGATTTGTTTGCACCTCATAAAATTCTTCCACGGGTGGGGTAAACACATAGCGTTGCAGTCCTTTGGGCGCATAATAGACTTGGCCTAAGGATTGCGTGACGGTCACGCTGTTAGCGGTCACTTTGGCTGAGACTTCCAGGGGTCTGGGGTAGAGGTTTAAGGCATCTTCAAAACTTTGATTGAGGTTAATAAAACGCCAATCGGAGAGAGTGCTTAAATGAAGCCAATTGCCAAGTATTTGGGTGGGTTTTCCCGTCTCCAAGGAACTGGCTCCTTTAGTGTGATTGGGGTAGCTATGTACCAAATTTGGTCCCATGCTATCGGCTTGATTAGACTTGGTATTTATCCAATGCAATGTTTCCGCAAACGGTTTGTAGATATAAATTAAATTGTCCGTATGGCTATGAGTTAAGACGAGTTCCGCTTGCACACCGTCTTTATTCCACGCTAATGTATGCCAACGGGCTGAACTAAACTTAAAACCATCATCCAAACTAGCGAGCGCTGTTTCTTCTATTCTATGTTTCACTGTATTAAAAAAATCCACCCCTTCATGACAGGCGCCTGCTTTTTCCCATTCATGTAAATCACTTGCACTGATATAGCCTTTTTGCGACACACCGGATTGATTTGCTTTTTCAGTCTCAGCCCATAATTCCATTAAATTCACATCGGCACTCTGCAAGTCTTTAAATAGAGACATTTTAGGCAAAATTGCCGAAGCAATTGAGACTTTCCATCTTTCCCCGTGTAATCTTAACCCAGGTTTGACTTTAAACTGATTTGCCACATTACTCGCGTAATTTTGGGTGACATCGCTTACGAGGGTTAAGTAAATGTTCGACATGTTTACGAAAAGTAACTTGACCAACCCTGTTCCCTCTATTTATACAAACAGAGACCACACCAATCAATTGTGTCGCGAACTTAGTTTATTAAGCCGTTTTTACCTCCCTTCGATAAAACGTTACAAATCCTAATTTAATTTCAAAAACAAAGCATGCAAGGGGTTTGCGCTTCCAAGCTACTGTACCCCTATAAAAACTACATACAAAAGCTAAAGCGGGTTGGCGCTACCAAGCAAACCGTGCCCGCACTATTTACAAGTCCATTAAAAGTTCAGCGTCTCCCCCGAACCAGTTGTAGCCGTAGGGCGTGGAAGAACGAGCGGCAGGGTCAATCACACGTTTATCAAACACCAGTTGATACTGTTTTTTACGTTCCGTGAGCTTGATTTTCTTGGTGACTTGGTCCCGTTGAAAGTAATCGGGAATAGTAATCACTATTTTACGTGCTTTTTTCAGCGGTTCATCCAATTCTTTCAGGATGTTTTCCTTCATCGTGTGATAATTTAAGACTTGTTTTGTCTCGTAATTGAGCGAAAACCCGCGTACTTTACATTCGGTTTTACCTTTCTTGGTGAGGTAGCCATAGTTTTTCGCCCCGCCACTGCAAAATTCGATGATCACGTCGCCTTCAATCTCGTTGGTGAACTGACCCAAAAATTCTCCCAGAGGAAGCTTCTCTTGACCCCGCTTGGTTTTATAAATGACTGAGTCTGTATCGTAATACAAGACTCGGTCACCTAAAAAATCAAGGGCATCGTACAGCTTTAAACGGACGAGCGAAGTGGTGAACGCCGCGATAAACACGTTTTGCTTGAACGAGCGCTGATATTCGTCTTCGTTTTTTGTGACGACCAACTCCATGACGTCCTCAGAGCAAATTCGCACACTGTGAATGGCATTGACAGGATCTTCTAACAGTTGGAAGAGTTGTGAAGGTTGGGTAATGCAGTGTGTTACAGGTTTGTTCTGCCGTTCACCAAATTTGCCCCATAAACTGAAAGATAGAATAAAAAAATAGACATTTGTTATTGTTTCCTGCGCGGTCCGCAGAATATAATTTTTCGATCGTGCAATCCTATTTGCACCGTAGTAATCATTTCGCATACTGAAAAATACAGTAAAACACTACAAATAAATTTTCCATACAAATCCTTGTTATTTTTTAATGCAAGCGTGCAATCCTATTTGCACAGTCACAAACATTTCGCGACCTGAAATTTGCGGTAAAACACTGCAACTAATTTTTCTTAAGTGTAGACTTTGACTGCAACTTAAACAATTTAATATAACTAGTTACCTGTTCAAAAGTAATTTTGCAATACTTTTTCTGCCCGGATTCACGGCTATCTTGTCAGGGTCCAACTTAATTCCTTCATGTTGTTCATACCGTCTCACATACTCGGCTTTCTGCTCTGGGGTTTCCACACCCGCGGGCCATCCGGCGCTCTCTTGTTTCAGCTTCAACCAGGTATTCACGTAGCCCGCGAAAAGACCTTCGCGGCCATTTTCCTCGGGAAAGTGCCACACTTCATGGATTTTCTGTATTTGGTACCCCTTTTCCACGGCTTTCTGGAGTTCAGGCGTACACCAGGTCCCTTTCAGCATACGTTGCTCACGGGTGTGACCACACATATTACTTCGTTCCAGCAAGGGGTTGGCTAACTCTTCTTGAACGCATGACCTGCAGAGAGGAAAAGTAAGTTTTCCGCCGGCTCTGACCGGCAGAACAGGGTGGTACAACCGCTCGGGAGCCAGGATATCCACTTGCGCGAGACCAAAGTAGTCATGAATGTTCTGGTTTTCCGGCTGATAAAAAATCCGCGGAAATCCCACAGGGTAGACACCGTACTTGTTAATACTTGGGTACAGGGATGTGAAATCCACATAACCGATTTCCTCATCCTCACCAGCTTTTGAGTAAAGGGTCGCGGCTCCCGTTCACCCTCCAAAGAATGCGTCTCGCGGTTCAAGCGGCGGAACAAATTCAAAGTTTTCCAGGAATTCGGCCAGCTCTGGGTCGGTTTCTTTCTGCTTGGCAAAGTCACACCCCCACATTTCCACTGCGTTGTAGCCTGCGTCGCGGAGGATGGCTGCTTTATTTAGCGTTGCTTCATAGACTTCGTCCACGGTTCGATCTGGATGGCAGAAGCGTTTCAGGTTTCCTTGCTTTGGGTAACATTTTCGACAGCCGTGAAAAATGCATCCATTATACTCGTACACGGTATTGCTGGCTGCGTGAAACCCATCCACACTGTACGATTGAGCAGGGGTGATCACTTTGACTTCCCCATTCAATGAATTTCGTACATGCTGTAAAAGAGAAAAAATAATATTATTGTTTTCTGCGCGGTGCGCAGATTATAATTTTTCGATCGTGCATTTGCGTTTGCGCAGTAGTAAACACTTCGCACACTGAAAAATACAGTAAAACACTGCAAATAAATTTTCTTAAGTGTAGACTTTTTTAGCACATTTCCCATACAAATGCTTGTTATTTTTGAATGCAAGCGTGCAATCCTATTTGCACAGTCACAAACATTTCGCGACCTGATATTTAAGGTAAAACACTACAACTAATTTTTCTTAAGTGTAGACTTTGACTGCAACTTAAATTCTTAAGTGTGTAAAAGACTAGTTACCTGAATGCCGCCGCCAATCTTGGCATTTTGAAATTCTAACCACTGCAGGGCTTCCACACTCTGGTTCTGCTGGTTATGGCGCCATCCGCCGAGGGGTTCCAAGGCAATCGTGTACGGCTCCAAAAACTTCTTTTGAAACACTTTAAAAGCGGTACTGGCAATGGTGACACATTCCACCGTAGGGTCTATGCCAGTCAGCTCTAACATTTCACTGGCAAATGTTTCCAGGGATTGGGTTAAGACTTGCACATCGCTTTTCAGGTACGCAGATAGTTCTTTTTGACAGTCGAAAATGGCGCTGCTGTTAACTTTTTCTTTGTGCCAAGTTAAAAATTCCTTTCGCCGTTTTTCATTCATACGTTCTGGATGGTATTCTTCTGCTTTTGGGTAGGGACCAACGTAATAAATCTTGTCTTCAGAAGTGTAAGAATAAGGGAAGAAACCCTTATGCGCTTCCTTCAAATTAAATGTAGCCGGCAAGCGTTCTAAAGGCATGTTAAAAAAATTCAAAGAATCCCGAAAAATCATATTTCCACACTGAAACGACAAAAATTTAGCCCCCATACTCAAGACCTTTTCGACTTTGTAACCCTTATCATACAACAACTGCAAAACAAAAGATGAATCAAACCCTCGCATGTTGTGAGCAAACACAAACACTTTCCGTTCTTTCATGTCCGCGGTAACCGTTTTCGCCATCACATCCTCCAACATATCCGATGCCTTGCCTGCTTCGCGGTAGCTACCTTCCACATTCACATATTGCCAGCCCACACACACATCCTCAAAATCCTTATTTTCATCCAACCCACATTCAAAATCAATACAACACACCAGCGGGGGCGGTTCTTCGTCCTCTTCTTTTTGACTTTTTTCCACGGCTTCCGCTTCAACCATGTCTTCCAGAATCGCACGGTCTTCTTCGTTCATTTCATCGGCCTGGTCGAGAAGATTGCTGAACTCTATTCCAAGCGGTTGAATGTAACACTGATGGTTCGGCAAAACTTTCTCTCGGCAGTTAGGACATCGGTATTCTCCGCATACATGCTTCTTTTTCTTCGAATACTTGTAAACTTTACAGCACTCGGGACACTTTTTGAATCGCTGACACAGCTTTGTTTTGTGAGCGTTGAAACAGTTTTGTCCGTAAAACGACTGACCACATTCATTGCAGAAGACAAGAGCAGGCTTTCTTTCTTGAAAATCAGGGCAGTCGCCGTTTTTTCTTCGACACTTGTTACAGTTTTGATGAGAACAATTATGATGCTCTGCGTCTTCTTGGTTGTAACCTTTGTTACATTGATGACAGTAATAACTCTTGTTTAGGAGAGCGGGTACACTTCGTAACCCGTGAAAATGTTGTTCTACTTTGAGTAGACACAGTTTTTTAGGCGCCGAATCAAACGAGTCATCGCAATACCAGAGAGCGCCGCAGATTCCTTCAAAGATTTTAATTTGGTACCCTTGAGGGCCAAGATGTTCTTGCATTTTCTGAATTTCCGGCAGACCGCACAGTCCTTCAGGAACCCCGGCTTCTTGATGCAGTTTGTAGGCAAGATGACCCTGCAGTCCGCGTCCTTTAGAAATATTTTTATGCTCTGGGTCTTGGTCCACAAAGGCTTTGGCGGACACCAAGGCTCGGGCGAAACAAAGTTCATCTTAATGGTAATCACGGATCGTTTATCGAGCAACTGCTCAAACGACTTGTTGCCTGGCTTGTTTCTGGCTGGTCTTCCGCCCCGTTGCTGGGTCTTAAAAAAAGACAGTTCTGCGAAAAATTCGCCGCTTGCAGCATCAAAACTTTCCGCTGAGTTCAGTTGTTTTGCGAGCTTTTCCAACCACTGGCGCATGAGGGGCGAACCTTGAAGCCACTCGCTCAGGGGAACTCTAGGACAACTGGTCCAAGTGTGGGTCCCTGTACTATGGTGAATAGCCATCGACATGGAATATTCGTCAGGGTTGACAATGCCATTGCGAGGATCGCGGATAAAATTAATTAGCCCTTGGTGGAAGGTTTCTGCAACCGCTTCTCCCTGATATTCTCCACTCGGTGGGCGTAGTTGCTCTAGAGAAAATCGGACTTGCATTTGGAGGGCCACGCCACGGTGAAATGAACGGGGCGCTCTCACTCGCTGCATGTTCACCGCAAATAACGGATTCCCTCCTTGCTGGTCTGCTCGGCGCGCGGCGATAAGCAGATCGCTTTCGTCCTCCGAGTCAATTAACTCTTCCCCTTGACTAGCGGTCCAGTCTGGAATTTCTTCCAACAAGGAATCGAGTCCATCCTCCATAAGCGCGCGAATGTATGGATCCATCGTTTTCAAAAAGTTTCGCAAAAAGCTCCGCTCAGTAAGACAGTAAAAACTGAATGACGCTTTAAGAGACGCAGTTTAGTTAAATTAGCTGTGGAGTACGTGCTTCGAATTTCATTCATGCGTCATAAACAAAGAACGTTCTAATGAGAATTTCAAAAGCCGTTCAAGGCTGCTCTTTGTTCTTTTTTCCAATGAATTTTTTAACTCTAGAATAATTCTTTGTCTAATTAATTTTTGGCTGAGTCAGCTATACTCTTTGTTCTTTTCCCTGAATTTGACAATGCTCGGTTTATTAGTTCTCAGAAAACCCCTCCCTTGCCTGAACGTTGATTTCACAGTTCAGTTCATTTCTCTTTCCCCAAAAGACACAAGTAAATTACACGCAAACTTAACTTTTATTTACATTTAACCTCCCTTCGGTAAAATGTTACAATCACTTTCTTAGTAAATGCAGTGAGAGGAACGTATTTTAACCGCAAGTCGGCTAAAGTCCTTTTCAAAGCACTTTCTTCTTATTTACAAACTGGAACATATCAGATTCCTAATGAATCTGGTCCAACAAAGTCATCTTCATAATCTTGAAAAAACCATGGAAAATCTAATTTTAAGTGAGCGTAGGTTTGCTCAAAGCGCTCGATCATGGATGTAATATGCGGAAAAAAAGGATTGTTCACAAGCTTTAAATCATCCAAGGTTACATTTAACACGGTAATTCGAAAATCAGTTTTCTGCTGGTTCATTTCAATCCACTCTGTAAAAGGATTTAGCGGTGAAAAACGAATATCTTGCATCACTTTTCTAAAAAAGACCCAAAGATTGGATCACTCTGTGTTCAAGTGCTTGACGTCTTCTTAAAATTCCTGTATCCCTGTATAGCTTAAAGATTTTTCGCCGTTCATGTTCAAAATTAACTCGTTCGTATCGGTCATATTTCATTTGACCGGTTACCGTCAAACAATCAACTCCAATTCTAAAACACTGAGAACAAAATCCTTCATGAAACGAAAGCCATTGGGTCGATCTACAGAAATGACGCTTCTTGATTTGTCGCAAACATTTGCTAAACAGAAAATAAAAACAACAACTTACTCAAATTCTAACCGTCTACGAATTGGCGTATAGTAAAAACGCCGAATTAAACGTGCCTCTTCATTTTTATCTACAAATTTCTTTTGCCTTTGCAAACGTAAACCATCTAAAGTTAACTGTGTTGACCTAATTCTTTTACAATGAGAACACAAAAGTTTCTCCGCATTGACGGTTTTGTGACAATACATGGTCCATCTTCGCGCTTTCAATTGATTCAAACAATTTCTAAAATAAAACATCAACAAGCGCGTTTAAAAACACGTTTTTACAGTTCAATCATATAACATTTCGTCTTCACACTAAGCCATATGCAATCTTTTATCCAAAACAGGGATTCCAGAATAGGTCTAAAACAAAACAGAGACTAAAGTAAATCGTCGATTTGTTTCCACAATCGATTTAAAAACGTAACATCACTCGGGTAAATGTCTGAGTTTAAAAACAAGGCTTGGATAAAACACAAATCAGCGTAGACAAACCTGAAATTGACGCGGTGTTGTTGTCTATACTTATTTCTGTCTTCAATGTACTGCTGGGCTTGAAGTTCTTTGGCAATCGGATGACAAGGGACCAGAAACGTCTCAGCCATTAAACCCTTGTTAGGGACAGCTTCCAAGGCAAGTTCATACAAAGTCTTCATCTTTGAGCAATTGGATATCTTGACACTGGGATGAGCAGAGCAAAATGACTTTTCCAAATTCACTCTACCTTTATGCTATTCAAGTGAGATTCACGCTGATTGGTGCGGGGACAATTAAAGTGGAGCGGTAAAAAACCAATTAATTTTTCGCCATTCTTTTAAGTTTTTGAACCTTCGCGGCAAAAAGTTCGCTGCTCTTTTTAGTTGAACGGCGGGCGGCAAAAACAATAACCCTTTTCGCTCTTTTTCAAGTTTGAGTCTTTTGTGTTGCAATCTGTTTTAAGATGAACCAGAAAAAAATTTATTTTCAACCATGGCTTTGCCATTTGAAATGGAGGGAACGTTCCTGACACAAGAGCAAGCAGATCATATCAACGAGAGGCATGTATCAAAAGACCAAAATGTAAAGGCGTCGAAGTTTGACTCACAAATTGATTTAGTCGATTTGTTACAGACTGTATCGGAACTGACCTGGGAACAGGAGAGCGAAGACGTCTCAGTCATACGTGAAGGATGGAATGAATATCATGGACACTTCTATTTGTTTGTGTTTAAGGTATCTTCACAGGCAAATTTTGCACATTTTTGCATCATTTTTAGTGGTTGTTTTATGGATAATATCTATATGTCACTACATTGACAGTATTCCTCAGTTCTTGAGGAACTAGAATATATCAAAATAAACTATGTTATGTCACCCAAAAGGTGTTAATTTAATTACCCCCTAGGGTGACACGGAAAGAGAAAAATTAAAATTTCAGAAGAATCCTTAGAGTTATTGTTAAAAAAGAAATGTAACACAAATAAGGACGTAAGATAGAATAATTCTGTGTTTGACTACGACACAGCTCCAATTAATCCAGCCTCTAGGGCACAATTTGCTATTTTGTAATTTGACCCATATTTTGACATCAATAACTCAGCTGTACGGCAATTCTAACCTTTAGTCAAACACAGATCTGTTCATTAACATGCTCTTTGTATATTTGCCAAATTTCACAAAGAAATAATGATCCATTCCTCCAAAAAACTGGTTCCCGTAAGTCAAGGTAAATCGGTCACGCGGTAATTAACGCTTTTCCAGTGTGAAAAAGCTTATTTTCTTCTCAAAATCAACTGTTTTTCCTCGATACTACCATCACAGACCTTCTTGCCCGCCATTTTGAATCACCGCTGTGTAAAATGCTCGTGGAAGCCTAAGAAAATGCCAAATGACCTCTCTATAGCCCCCTTGGATTTTGATACGTGACCAGTTGCTAGGTGTGACGTATTTCCGGAAGATTCGTTACTCAGTGTCAGCTTTAATGCAGTGAAGCGCGCCGAAGTATGAAGATTGAAGAAGAGTTTTATTCAAAATTGAAAAGAATTGCTTCTGTAAAGTGAAAGAAATTGGCAGAAAAATAGACCAGAGGATTAGGGGCCAAGAAAACGTTTTACTCTCCCGGCAAAATTGTCAGAATATATCAGGTGAGAAGACACACCGATGTAATGTAAATTTAAAACAATATTAAGCCCTGGAAAATGGAGTATATTTCAAGAACATAACGAATTTTGACAAGAAGCAAGTACTATTAGTCATCACAGCTTTAACAGAAGGAAGAAAAATCAAGTTGGACATACAGCGGCTGTAGTTTGTCAATGAATCCAAGCAGTGAATAGATTTTGTTCAG